GCTGATGCAGCTGCCAAGATAAGTGAATTGATCAACCACCTCGAGTTCCTCGTTAGCAAGCGTCAAGGGGTCATCGAGTGGCTGGTGGTCCTGCAGCAACACTTTGCACTTTGAAGGTGCGAAGTGCATACCAAATAATGGGACCACTCTGGATAGGCTATTCAGGGTTGATTGTGCCGCCTCAACATTATCGAAAAGTAAGACGATATCGTCCGCATAATCTAGATCAACTAACCGTTCACCAGGCAGCACTTCAACACCTACATCGTGAGATTCCGCAAGGGAACATTCCATGATAGAATCCACGACGAAATTGAACAAAAGTGGGGAAATCGGGCAACCCTGTCGAACGCCACTTGTAGTCGAAAAGCTATCCGATAGGGCACCATAGACCCTGACGCGGCCTCTAGTGTTCGAGTATAGAGCACGTAGGATGTTCACATATTTCGTGGGAACACCTTTCCGCGCAAGTATTTCGAACAGAATCGATCGATCGACTGAATCGAACGCACTCTTGAAATCGAGGAACACAGCTATTGTCGGTCTGCGGTATGCGTGGCGCTGCTCTAGCACCTGTCGCAAAGTGAATATATGGTCTATACAGCCACGTCCTGGGCGAAAACCGGCCTGCTCTTCTCCAATTCGAGATTCCCGTTCTGCAGTGAAGCGACGAACGATAATCGAGGACAGTAATTCTGTCACAACTGGCGTTAGGCTAATACCCCTGTGGTTCGCACAGTCTGTGCGACTGTCCTTCTTGTATATTGCCACTATAATCGATTCGCTCCAATTAGCTGGCACACTCTCTTCGTTCCAGATACGTTCGAATAGGGAGGTCAGTGCTTTGCAGAGGACCTCACCTCCATCCTTAAATAGTGCAGGTGTGAGGGAATCCGGGCCAGCGGCACGAAAACGATTAAGGGCTGTGATCGCGTTTCGGACCTCAGCCTCCGACGGAGGCTCTAAACTAACCGTCCATGGCTCGTCCTGCATCACCTGAGTAGGAAGAGGTCCGGGAGCAGGGGGCCAGCTGAATTGATGTTCAAAGTACTCAGCCCAACGAGCCATACGGCGCTCCTTATTGTGTATCAGCGTACCCGCGCTGCCCCTGATTGTCTCACTGACGCCTGGTTTTCTCGGACCAGTGGTGCGTATTAGCTGGAAGAGCTTGCGGTAATTGCCTACTGCTCCTGCCTCCTCCATTTCTTGAGCCCGACTGGTCCACCAGGCTTCCTTGTCAGCACGTAGGCTCCGCTTTAGTTCACACCTAATAGCCCGTCTGGTCACATTGTGTTCAGAACCAGCCGGGAGGTGCCTTCTAGCTTCCAAAAGGTTCACGGACCTCTCGGATATCCAGTGACTGGTGCGATGACGACTGATAGTGCCACAAGCAGATGCTCCTGCGTCGTGCATAGTGGCCGAGATCCTATTCCACTGAAGTTCAGTATCATTAGGACAAGACAGCGAGAGTTCGCTATGCAGTGCTTCTTGATAGGCTTGCCTGACAGAGGGCTGGGACAATTTCTCCGTTGCCAATCGGGGGGAGACGCTTTGTGCGCCTTCCGGTAAAGTTCATGGAGAAACGACAGCGCACCAAGGCATGGTCAGAGTCGACACAGGTACTCCAGTACGAGCGGCAATCCAGAATGGAACCGCGCCACCTGTAACTTATGGCTATGTGGTCGATTTGGGTCCATCGCTGACCAGCTCCAGGTGGACGCCAAGTGGCACTTCGGCGCCCACTGTGTCTAAAAGCAGTGCTAGTAAGAAACAACTGGTGCTCCGCACACAGTTGCAGCAGACGCTAGCCGTTGTCAGTCCGTTCGGAGTTAAGTTCATACTTACCACCCAACTGAGCTTCTGAAGAGCTCAGACGCCCTACTTGTGCGTTCATATCCCCTGCAAGTACTATAATATCTGAACTAGTAGCATTGCGTAGCAGCGTGTTTAGTTCGTGATAGAAAGTGTCTTTGACTGCATTAGAACTGCAATTCGTGGGAGCATAAGCAGAAATCACAAACAAACAGCGTTTTGTACTACTTCGCGAATTCACCTTAGCTGATGTCGTCAAACGGGCTGCACATAAACGGCTGTTCACCGGAATCCAATCAACCAACGATGACTCAGCCTTGGAGCTGAGAATGATACCTACACCAGCTTGACCGGTGAGTGCTGCATCGGCGTCTCCGGATGCGTGCAACCAATAACGAGAGGATAAGCCGGGTGCAGTCAATTCAATAACCCCGTTAGGGTCATTAATCCTAGTTTCGGACACACAACACACATCAACACCCAGTGTGTCCAAGGTGCGTGCGAGTGCAGCCTGCTGACCTGTTTGTCTTAGAGTGCGGACGTTGAATGTCGTCATGGAAACGGGACAGCGTGGCCTTATAAGGGACTTTTGCCGATAGGCGTCCGATAGGTGCTGTGGGATGGTGGCTGCAGATGGTTTTACCCCAGTAGCACTTCGGTTGCTGTCAATTAAGCTGGGAATTATAGAAGGAAGGTTAGTAATGGGGGCCGGGATGGGAGTAAGAGAAAAAGGTGGAGAAGAAAGAAGGGAGGCGCCAGCAGTAGCATGCTTTCGCTTATCCGCCCTGCTGTATGCAGCAGATAAGGCGACCCTTGATAATCTGCGCGACGGCCGATGCAGGATGCAGTTTATGTTTGAAGAAATTGTCATGGTTGTATGTGGGCTGGGGTACTGCCAGGGCGCCCAGACCTAGACAGGAGAACGATTAGGGTCCTCATCCAAAGCCTTTGTTATAATCTTCTCACTAGACGCAACTCCAAAAATAACAATTCACTGCTCCGCAAAACTTCTAGCCCAACCGAAGGAAAAAAGCAGAACGCCAATGACCCTGACAAATAACGTATTAATCGCAGCCAACGAACACTGTACAACGACTGAGGACCCTGGCTGTATTTATAGGTCTCTGCTGACCTTCGACTTCTAGAATTGGAAGGTCAGCTGCCAAGGTTAGTGGTTCCCCATATCTTTTCCCGAGAGGTCAGGTGGATTTTGATCACGTGTAGAAGAAGAACATTCAGGAACGTTCGAAATCGATGCGATAATCGTTAATAATCGATTAATCGCTAAAATAGGGAATTTCCAAGGCAATTCTTACTTTCTCCCGGACACCTCCCCTCCTGAGATATGTTCCGAGGTGTAAGAGGAAAGCCTGGGATCAACTTGCAGTCTTCGGGACGGTGTTCTCTGCCTGTCGGTCCACCTCCTTGGCAGAAGCGCCCGAGAACTTTGTTCCGATGTTCTTGTTCTGGATTCGTTGCTCGACCTTGGGCAGTCGTCCACTGTTACCTTCGGCAGGTTGAAAGTTTCCACCAGTAAATCGAACGGGAGGTCAGTAGGCCTTTCTTGTTCTGGCTGGCACAATGTGGGACGTAACTGGTTTGCATGCCGCGGCCAGACCTGTGCGCCCACCTTCACGTCATACATGACGTTTCCGCGCTTGCTTATGACCCTCCCTGGCGTCCACTTCGCATGGCCATCCCGGTAGTCACGTACTAGCACCTTCTGTCCAAGCGTGAATGATCGCTTCTTTGCTCCATGCCGCCGGTTAAACTCCTGTTCCATTCTGCGGTTTCTTTCACCAACAGAGGACTCCGAGCCCGGTCGGATGGCGTCGAAAGGCATGCGGAGCTTCCGGTTCATCATAACCTGTGCTGGAGAGACTCCGTCTGGTGCTTGTGGATTCGGTGTTGATCGGTAGAGGAAAAGGAACCGGTCAACCACCTCCTCTATACGTCCCTCCCCTTTTGATTTTTGGAGGGCTCGCTTGAATGTGTCGACAAATCTTTCTGCCTGGCCATTCGACTGTGGGTGAAACGGCGGCGAGCGAACGTGCTGGACGGCGCATTGCTTGCAAAACTCCTTAAACGCTGCTGAAGTAAACTGTGAGCCATTGTCAGTGACCATTGTCTCAGGACAGCCGAATCTGCTAAAGGCTTGGCGCAGTTTCGATATGGTGGCATTGGTGGTGGTGTTATCCATGAGAAATACTTCTGGCCACTTGCTGTATGAGTCGACTATAATGAGGAAACTTCTCCCGTTGATCGGCCCTGCAAAGTCGACATGAATGCGGCACCACGGCTTAGTAACTATTGGCCATGAACAGAGTTCTGCTTTCGGTGGCGCTTTCAAGACTTCGGCACACTTTTGGCAGCGTCTGGCTATTTCTTCCAACTGTTTGTCCATTAAGGGCCAGTATACATAACTGCGGGCAAGCGCCTTCATCCGGTTGATTCCAGGATGCCCGGCGTGGAACTGTCGAATAAGGCGCTCCTGAAGTGTCTTGGGGATGACCACTCTTTCCGAAAATAGTATGCAATCGTTTACAATAGAGAGTGAGTGTCTCCTCTGAAAATACTGTTGCAACTCGGCGGATGGACAGGAACGTGGCCAACTTGTTTTGTGAAACTGCGTAACCTTCTTGAGTATTGGGTCCCGAAGTGTTTCGGTCCGCACAGCTTCTGCGGTAACTGGTAGACAGTGCAGTGCATCAGTTACCAGAAAGTTGACGTCTGGTTCAATCTCCACCGAGGCAATGATTGTGTCTTCATGTTCTTGCTGACGGGTATCAATTAGGCGTGACAGTGCATCTGCTTGGCCAATGGAAACTGTCGACTGATATTGGATCTCGAAATCATACCCCATTAAGGTAAGAGCCCAACGTTGTAGCCTGTTGGCTGTGTAGGCCGGGATGCCCTTTTTCGAACCAAAGATAGCGAGCAAGGGTTTGTGATCTGTCAGAAGCTTGAAGCGGCGGCCGTATAGCATTTTGTGGAATTTCTTAACCGCGTACACTATGGCCAATGCTTCTTTCTCAATCTGACTGTAGTTCTTCTCGGCCTTCGTAAGGGTTCTGGCGGCATGGGCGATTGCTTTTTGAGATCCATCGGTGTACGTGTGTGCAATTACTGCACCAATCCCATGGCTTGATGCATCTGTGGTTAGGACGATCTCTTTGGAGGGATCGAAATGTGTCAAAAGCAAGTTTGAAGACAACAGTGACTTGACGCGTTCGAAGGCATTCTGACATTCTGCTGTCCAGTTCCAAGGTTGTCCTTTGGATAGGAGCTTGTTTAACGGGGCACGCAAGCGGTGCATCTCAGGCAAAAATGCGCTGTAGTGGCTGATGAGCCCACAAAAGGAACGCAGAGACTGTAGATCTGTGGGTGGAGGCATTTTTCTAATGGCTTCGATGTTTTCCGGGTCTGGTCGACGTCCATCCTTTTCGAGGATAAACCCGAGGTATTTGATGAGCGGCGTGAAAAATGTGCATTTATCCTCACGGATCCGGAAGCCGTACGACTGTATGCAACCAAGCACTTCATCCAAGCGGTTGAAGAGTTCTTCCGGTGTTCGACCCATCACTATGATATCGTCCAGATATGCAGCGGTCCCAGAAACTCCCGCTAGCATGGTGTCCATCAACTGTTGGAAGATGGCTGGCGCCGTTTTCACACCAAATGGCAAGCGGTTGTATTGGAATAGCCCACGATGAGTGTTGATCGTCAACAACTCCCTCGAGACTTCGTCAACATCCACTTGCAGATAAGCATCGGATAGATCAAGCTTTGCAAAGTACTTACCACCATTCAGCTTTGCAAAGATATCCTCCGGTACAGGTAAGGGATACTGATGGTCGTCCAGCGCGGCGTTGAGGCCAGTTGAAAAATCAGCACAGACGCGTACCTTGCCATTTGCTTTCTTCACTGCGACAATAGGTGCGGCCCATGATGAGTAGTTGACGGCTGTGATGACTCCGGCACGTTCCAGTCGATCGAGCTCTTGCTCAACGGTTGACATGGCTGCATATGGTACCGGTCTTTTAGCCTTGAACACTGGTTTAGCACCTGGTCGCAAGTTCAGTGTTGCCTTGAATTTCGTACAGTGGCCCAAGCCATCCTGAAAGACAGAAGCAAATTTTCGCTTCAGGGTACGTGTCATGTCTTCGACGGACTTTGCAGATGGGTCTGGACTTGCTCGAACTCGGTTGCAGATCTGATTCAAGGGAACATCGAGGAGGTTCAACTTTTCAATCCAGTCGAGGCCAAGAAGATTCAAATTCGGCCGGTCCGAAATGTAGCATGTTCCCGACTTCTCCACACCTTGGAAAGCAATCTTGCAATTGAGTTCGCCGACTAAGTGTAATACACCGCCGGATGCATTATGTGCAACTTTCTGAGAGTCGACCATCTTCGGCCTCTTTATGTGATTCCATGTGCGCCTGGAAATGATTGTGATGTCTGAGGCCGTGTCAAATTGCAGTTTCGTTGGGATACCATTGATTAATACAGTGATGAATCGTCGTCTCGGTTTACACTCGCTTTGGAATGCGGCGACTATGGAGAGAGATTCAGCGCCGCCCCTTCTAGAATTAACCCTTCGGTGAGACTTCTGCACTTTCTTCGACCGGACTTGACTGCAGCATTCCTCCTTATGCCCACGCTTATGGCACGTTCGACAAATATGATGTTTGAAGGGACAAAAGCGAGCGAAATGCCATTCGCCGCATGACCAGCATGCTGTGGGCGGTTTCTTCGTAGGCCTCTTGAAGGATTTGCTTGCGTTAGCGGTCCTGGCTTTTTTCACAAGTTGCACGGTATCTGGTGATTCTAGACCATTGCGTTCGACCATGGCAGTGTCGTGCTTTAGAGTGAGTAGTCGTTTGCATTCGCTAACGAGGGCCTTCAGGGTCAGATCCGGGTCCTGCTCCAGCTTAGCTAAAAGCCGCGTTCGGATCTCAGCGTCACTGGGCGATTGTAGAGCACTGACGAAAATGAGACACTTAAACTGATCGTCCGTTAAAGAACGTAATTTGAAACGTTCACAATCACGGTTAATCATGTCAGCTAAGGCCCCAAAATCGTCCGCTTCCTGTTTGACAATTTTTCAGGCATTGATAGCGAATACTAAACAAAGACACCGACTCACCAAAAATTTCTTTCAACTGCGACACTGCTTCGTCAAATGTCAGATCCTTCGGCTGTTTGGGCAAAATGTGGTCTATGAACCTTGAATGTTCACTTATTCCGAGCTTGCGGAGTAGCAATCGCACTTTCCAGGAGTCGTCCTGACGACTGAAGTCCGTCTGGAACATGTCTTCCCAGCGCTTGAACCACGCTTCGAAAGTGCTTCCAGAATCCGCATCATAATGGAATTCAGTGATAGCGTTCGTGAGAAGATCAACAGAACTCGCCTGCGTGTCCCGCGTCGCTGCTCCAGTTGTCTGCAAACTCAAGCATTTTGTCAGATTTTCAATCATTTTCATTTGCGCCTCCATTTGAGCTTGCTGTTGAAAAAGCAGCTTTTGAAATTGTTCGGCAGAAAAATTCATCACATTTCCACTTTTCTCCCTCGCCATTTGTTATAATCTTCATGGGGAGTATTGGGCCCCTTTTTGGTAATCTACCAAACAAAGGCGCATGAGCTGATCATTCAGTCAACGCCTCCCAATGGGCGCGATTCCCTAAATTCGCCCCGCTGCCTTGCGGGTAGGTTATTTAGCCAAAGGCTCGGGGTGGAGTCCCTTAAGTCAACTCACTACTTCGGCTTGGGCAACCGGGTAGTATCACGCCCTCTCACAAAACCATGGACTGTACCACAACGCACTCATCAGCTACTATTCCTGCTACTCACTTTCACGCTACTCCATCACACGCCAATTGTTTGTTTGCTAACAATCCTCACTTTCGGTTACCCGATTCATCTGTTCAACAATCTGGCTGCGATTCCGGTTGCTCCGCAGATCAAGGAATTCAACCTATGGCTCTCCTTCGTCCCCAATCCTCGTTCCGTCTAGCGTGCTTCAACATTCGGACACTCATGCAGATTGGACAGCAAGCCGGTCTAGCGCGCACCCTAGATTCCCTAGACATTGATGTCTGCTGTCTTTCAGAAACCCGATTGCAAGATCCCAGCACTGTGCTTACATTGACATCCCCCACTGACCACGAAGCCAGATATCACCTGCGTCTTTCTGGAGATCCAGAAGCAAGCTCAGCGGGTTTGGCTGGTGTAGGTATAGCACTGAGTGGCAAGGCCGAGGCGACACTACTGGACTGGTTCCCGATTAACAGCCGACTATGTGCAGTTCGGCTTCGGGGTTCATGTAGAATCAACAGGCACCGCGAAGAGAGACGCAACTTGTTTGTGATCTCTGTATACGCTCCAACTGACTGCAGTAGCGACTCGGTCAAGGACGATTTCTACCGAGATCTACAACAGCTCTTGACTAATGCTAAAAAGTCGGATGTCGTTATCCTTGCTGGGGATTTTAATGCACGGGTTGGCCGCCTGTTACCATACGAACGCCACCTTGGTGGTCATCACGCGCTCGATGAGAACCGCTCTGATAACGGAGAGAGACTTCTCACATTGTGCGAGGACAACCGTCTGTTTCTCTCGAGCACTAGCTTCAGGCGTACGAAGAAACGTTCCGCAACTTGGCGTCCCCCTTCGCCAACACAACCTTGGTCTTAAATTGATCACTTTGCGATTAGCTTCCGATGGCGCGGCAGCGTACTGGACTGCAGATCCTTTTGGTCCACTTTCGTTGATTCAGATCATGCTCTGGTCTGCGCGAAAATCTGTATGTGTTTTGGAAAATCCCGAAACACGAAGCACCGCAAGATTGATGTAAACAGATTAACTGATTCCTCTGTCCAGGAGAGCTATCAGTCTTCACTGGCATATGCACTCAGTTGCAATCCACCGCGAGAAGTGGAACAACACTGGACTTGTATACGGAAAGCGCTGACCATTTCCGGACAGTCATACTGCGGTCTAACTCGACGCCCTTTGAAGTCTTGGATCTCTGCTCGTTCTCTGGAGCTCTTCGAACGCCGCAAAGATATCTCCGCGGAATCAGATTGCAACGAGCGGCGCCGTTCTACCAACCGGCTGCTTAAGCAAAGCCTCCGCAAGGATCGCGAGACATGGTGGTCTGAGCGTGCTTTAGAGATGGAGACCGCTGCCCTCTCTGGTAACACTCGCAGGCTTTTCCAACTCATTCGGTCCACTGGCCTCAGGAAGCCTGGTGTCAGTGAGGTCATTTGTGAGGTGGATGAGTCTCCGATCACCAACCAACAGAGGCGTATGGACCGCTGGGCCGAGCACTTTCACTCGCAGTTCAACTGGCCTCCACCATCCATCAGTACATGCAGTACACCTTGCGGTCCACCTTGGCTAGTCCCATTGAATCCACCCAGCGAAGCGGAAGTCTGCCTCGAGATTCGACGCTTGAAGCGCTTCAAGGCTGCCGGCTTAGACGGACTTCCTCCGGAGCTATTCAAGTATGGCGGTGTGGCAGTCATTAACCAGCTAACCGCGCTGTTCGCAAAAATTTGGCATGAAGAGAGAGTGCCTCCCTCTTGGGGCGAATCAGTTATTGTCCCAATTTTCAAGAAAGGCGCTCGCACTTCATGTGCAAATCATCGCGGGATTAGTCTTATTTCGGTTGCCTTTAAGCTGTTGGCATCCATTCTACTTCGTAGACTATCCCTAGTACGTGAATCGTACTACCGTGAAGAACAAGCTGGTTTCCGTTCTGGCCGCGGATGCGTGGATCAAATCTTCACGCTCCGCCAACTCCTTGAACATCGCCACATTTATCACAGGCCCACTATCGTTGCATTCCTAGACATACGTGCCGCTTTTGACTCCGTTGATCGACCTGCTTTATGGCGTTGCTTACTAAAGAACGGGGTGCCAGAGAAATATATCGCCATCTTACGAGCACTTTACCTTCACACATCCGGCAGAGTGAGGGTCTATGGCAAGCTTTCCTCGCAATTCACTGTCAATAGCGGTGTGCGACAGGGCTGCCCTATGTCCCCATTCCTCTTCAACTTCGCAATCGAAGACGTTCTGTCGAATGCCCTAGAAGGTTTCCAACATTTTGGCCTAGAGCTTCTACCGGGTGAGCGCGCGACCGACTTAGATTATGCTGATGATATCGCCTTACTTGGTGACGATCCTCAGGGTATGCAACTCATTCTGGATCGTTTGGCGGTTGAAGCATCTAAGTATGGCATGAGCTTCGCCCCATCGAAGTGTAAAGTACTGCTCAAGGATTGGCTTTCACCTGCACCCGTGCTCACTCTCCAAGGTGCACAACTTGAACAGGTAGATAGTTTCGTCTACCTTGGGAGCTGTGTTTCCGCTGACGGCACAATTAACAAAGAAGTTTCGCTTCGTATCGCTAAAGCTCGATCAGCATTTGTCAATCTGAGGCACTTGTGGCGTCGTCGCGACGTCTCATTCTCACTAAAGGGCCGCGTTTACAGCGAGTCCGTTCGCTCAGTATTGTTGTACGGGAGCGAGTCCTGGCCGATTCGCGTGGAAGACATGCGTCGTCTATCTGCGTTCGATAACGGTTGCTTAAGGAGGATCGCTCGTGTTCGGTGTCAACATCGAGTTAATAGTAATGACGTTCGACGTCGCGTCTTGGGGAATGCAAGTATTTCTTTCAACAAACTGGTTTTGTTGCGCCAGTTAAGATGGCTCGGTCATGTCCTACGCATGGCACCTGAGCGTCTACCGCGTCGCGCTCTATTCGCTCGTCAAGAACCTGGCTGGAAGCGACCGCGTGGTGGTCAGCCTTCCACTTGGCGGCAGCACATGAAATCGCTGATGTCGTGTCTAGCCGCTGTTGGACCCGTACGTCTTCCAGAATGGGGACCCAAAGATGGCGAGTGCCAATGGCTTAGGACACTTGAAGACATGGCCCGCAACCGGAATCAATGGAAGAATTGTGTACAGTGTTGTGTTGATTCACATGTTTAATTCTGCAAAAATTGAAAATGACAAAAAAAGAGAAAAACCGGCGTGTGACAAACAAACTAAAAATGTTTTGTTCTGTATTTTTGTCAAAATATGCCATTTTCTTGCGGCATATTAGCTGAAGTGTCTTGCCCACCTTCAGCTAGCATGCCATGACGATTATGACGCAATGACTGTCTCTTATACACTGATTTCCATGGTTTTCTTGGCTCTATGTCTAGTTAATAGACTGTTGAGATTACATACATACATACATACGTTCCGTGCTCCGCATTCTTCAGTCATGGTCTAGAGGTCAAACTTTCCGATTGGGTTGATGAACGGACATAATGTTGTTTACCCTTTTATGAAACAGCATTGTAGCGCCTACTCCGGTACTTGCTCCCCATCGCAGATTTTCGACATCCTCCGATCCCCAGTGACTAACACTCTTCTGCAGCCAGGTGTATACGGTGACCGTTTCTTGGATGGGTTGCTTGAGGAACAGTTTTTCCAATCTGACCTCCAAACATTCTGGACAAATGATAAGAAAATTAGATATTCCGGTGCCTTATCTTATCGTATACTGAAACTCGCTCAAATGGGTTACAGAAAGAATCAAGTGAGTCAAGAATTTGTCATATATTCTTAGCTTTAAATTGCCCTTTGGTATGGAGTTTCATGGTCCTTATAAAGCCAGTAAGACAAAGTATAGGTCTCAAAAAGTCTTGCTACTTTAAGTTCGTTTTCTGACTACCTTCCTTGCTAGCCAGGTTATCTCACGACACGTGGGCTCTAGGTAAGCAAAAGATGGACGTTTATTGAACCATCAAGAATTCATGTTTTGGTACCCATAGACTTCCACGCTAGTGCTAACGCAGGTAAACGTAAAGATGTTCTACTGGCATTGCGTAACGATCACGCGATGCTTTCCATTGAATTCTGACCAGAGGATTTAAGACTGCCTTCTGTATCCTGTGGTCTGGTTCGTTATTACCATTCACCTGGACAGAACTATTTAATTCATTTACTTCAAGTACATTACAAATGCATTCGCGCGGCAAGCTCAACCGATATGGCTTGCATCCAGGAATTCACTTTATGGGTGGAAATGAGAGCGTCAAAGTGCACACATAAGTGAGCGAGAATTCAAGTAAAATGCATCAGAAAGACGTCAAATTAAACAGATTGTAAGTCCGATCGCTAGCGGCAAAGAAGTAAATGCAACAATGCTATCAACCCTTCCACTAAGATATTTCAGAATGGCTTGGACACATTGATGTGATCCTTCTCGGTTTTCCTATTCAGAAAGCCCACATACTCCAGCTGTACTTGGTTGTTAGCTTGGTAACTTCATGTTGCACGCCGAGTCCACAGTAAAGTTTCATCAGACATTTGCAACAATACTAAAAATAAAAAATAAAATAAACGTTTTATTCCTCGACATTGCGAGGCACAGACCAATTGAGTGGTCTTATCGGCATGTACAACGTGATCGCATAATATAGTTCATTTTACGTGTTTTGTTCAATGGTTCCATATGGGTTTTTTAAGGGATTTGCTGTTTGAAAATAGTAGAGAGTTTGAGAAACTGGGAACAATAATAAATGTAGATTTCACGGAAAGTTCAAGTAAAGTAATACGGTCATTCATGGAACTGTCCCCAGGGGACTTGCTTCCATGCAAGATATTTCCACGATGGGTTTCACCCGCACTTCCATGCTCCAATTGGCTCTGTGCCGGTGTGGCAAAATAGTAAATAGGCCATCAGACTGGGTATCAAATTTTTTAAGGGCTGTTTTATGCAGACATTATAGGCGATGAAGCCTCAGCCCATTCCGTCATGCGGATCAATCAAGTGTGGCACTTTTTTGTTTTAATCCAGTGAGTCAGTAGCAATATGATTTGCATGGGTATACTTTTTATTTTGGAAGCTGCAATCCGTCACCACAAGAGATCAACCCTGTCATGACCAACAATGAAACAAAAAAGGAGATAAAGTATGAGGAATTAAAAAACATACTAATGAATACAAACGCTTGCCGATAGGCCAATCACAATTTGATGGAAAATCTTGGCGAGTGACGACGATGGTACAGCGACATCAGCTTGAAAAGCCGTAGTGCAACTACGAACCAGTGCGTCAAAGGAGAAAACAGAATTGATTAGACAGAGTGATAGAAGCGAGATCGTTTATAAACACATACCCAAGAATTGTAGGTAATCTTATAATATTGAAACGAATAGAGGATATGGCGACTTTCATATTTATCCAGGACCTTTCTCATACAAATCATCTAGAGTCACCGTTTGGCTTAGTGTTGACCAGCTATTTTCGACAGTCATGTGAATATTAATCATGCATCTGAACTGCGGATAGGTAGTGCAGTTTCTAATACTCAGTGGAAGTTTGTTCCATATTAACGCATATTTTACGGAGAAAAATTTGAGCGGAGCTTTGTGCGAGACCTTTGTATTTGTAGTGTGCGCTCGCTGTTTCTTAGTTCATAGCGCATACGAGGCTGAAACTCGAGTAATGGCTGAGCAGTGAAGTTTAACCCGAATAGTAAGCGGTATAGAAGGCTCAGATTAAGTCTAATTCTGCCTAGCCATAGCGGCCCCAAATTTAACGCCTCGCGAAGCTCACGTTATGTCATAGTATTAGGCATGTTCAAAAACCTCTTTGTGAATGATCGTTGAATGTTTTCTAGCGCTATGACGTCCGCTTTTCTCAGATTACTATACACTATCGTACAGTACTCAAGTTTCGGCCTAACACATATTTTAAAGGCTTGAAGCCAGGAATCTTTCAAAATAAGAGTTCGCCTTATGTAGACGATCATTTTTCTGGCAGAAGCGTGCAAGAATATAACATGTTCTAAAAACCTGAATGAGGCAGATGATCTTAGACCAAGGTCTTGGACTGCGCCACACACATGATTAGGGGTATCGTTTAGTGTAAGGATGTTCAGAGAGGGGCCACAGCCATGGCACAATAGATTACTAAGTGGTGCATATGTGCATGCGATGAATGTACCCTGACCACCATAGTCGGAGTCAGCCTGTAGCCTAGAGGTAATTAGCTTGTCTCGTACTCTTGCGGCGTTGGTTCGAATCCGTGTGGGGGTTGGCGTCCTCACAGTATACTCAGCCCGCTTGCGACCGGTTGTGGTGGCACGACAAAGAAGCGCCGTTATGGCATACAGCTGACACGTTATTATTACTATTATTACTACGGTTACTTTTAGTATTATTACCATAGTGGGGTTAAGTTCGGTGGGTAATCCAGTGGTTTGCTACCAGATATCAAATGTAGGACTTTGGTACCACTCAGTTGGTAATCTAACCAGATTTGCTTGGTACCCCACAGGTCCCGTTATTCCAAAAACCATAGTATCATGGTGCTGGTAAGGTATCTCACAAGTACAATAAGTCAGCAAGGCTCAATTTCATCGGACCTTTAAACGTCGGCAATAAATATCAGTCTCAATAGCATAGGGTCTGACGCTTCACGTAGTAAGCAATTCGAATGTATACTCGCCATGGATGTTACACAAACTCAGATCACTGAAAAGTCAGATGTCTTCCTGTTGCTTTCCGCACTTGTGAAAAGCGGCGGGGTGTTGACTCAGTCTGCAACCGCATCTTACACCGTTGAATAGGTGAGCGCTTACAGCAGACCTCAACATCCTTCGTCAGACTATCCAAGAGCTGCTAATTAAAGACTTGTTGTAACCTCAAAAGCAGTATAGCGATCACAAGCTCTAAGTTCGTCAGTCAATTACCGAGTGGAATTGGCTTAAAAGAAATGTGCGAGGCGAAACTAGTAGCGAACCGCTTGGTTCGATTATTGAAGAGGAAAGGAGAGGTACTGCAACGCTAACGCACCCCATTGGTTGTGACTTGCTCAGGGAATAGCGTCCGGTAGGTCCAGGATAGGCAAAAAAGCGGTTGAGTCAAATAACAGTTCTGGCACCATTCCGAGATTGACCGTATCAAAAATAAATGGGACCAACCAAATCAAGACGGTGTACAAGTTAAGGTTGACTGCCGCGATGTGCCGAGCATATGCATGGTTCTCTTCTAGCACACAACGAGTTCTGGAAGACTATTTAATCGGTGGAGCAGGAACCATTTCCACTACTTCGAGCCTTTCTTACGCTAATGGAAGCAACAAAACCAGTGTGTTGGTTATGGCTAGCTACTATTTGTATAGTGTGGAACAAACTTGCCAAGTGCGAGAAAACCTTAGTGTAAGACGACTGAGCCAAAAGCATGTTGCACGGAGAGCAAGTCAGCTAGAGGAGGTGGAAACTCACCGGGAAACATCATGTGGTCAGAAATCACATTCAGAAAACTACTCGACGATTGTTGGGTGCAGAGACAAACAAAACCTATCTTAAGATATACTGGAAGGGTAACTGATTTCGGGTTAACAAGAAGTGTCTCTCATTGGAAAACTGCCTTGTAGAACGTTCGATGAAGGCATCAATTTGACAGGTGCCTGTCGGTGACAGAAAGGTCAATGAGTCTGCCTTACAACTCGGTTGTCACCGGTTCGAGCCTTCGTATCGAACCGGACAACTATCACATTAACTTTAGACAACGCACGACTGGTCGTGCCTGTGTGACAGCAAAGCAAGCGAAAACCTACCGTGCGGCCGCACTTTAACTCGGCTCTGGCTTTGCCCTCTGTGGCCACTCTAATTCTCCCCACACAATATTGTGCGTGCGCTCATTCGAACCAGTTCGACGAGCTCTACTCAGTGCTTCCCTACTCTTGGATCTAACCTGTGTGGATTACACTCTTGCCCCAGTTCCCAGTTTTCGGCATATTCTTTGCCGAATTCCACTTGTGTAACTACATAAAACCAGTTTTTCGGAAAAGATTTTGGTCTCATTCGGAAGAAGAAGCTGAGAACTCCCCAACTACGCGGCAACCATCCCTGCAAGTTGCAGCATAACAAAGTTACAGCCCGTTTGCTCCGTTCATCGACTCAGCAGCCCTAGGGAGGCTTATCAGCGCTCCACCTGCATCGTCGCTTAAGGCAGGCCGATTAACACACGCTGCCGCTTTGTGTGTGTGTGTGTTCAACTGCGAGTCGACTGATCGCTGAACCCGACAGTCTGCGCGTTACAACCTTTATCTGCCTCTACCGCCCGACATTGGTGCGTTTGAACAACTCTCAATTCGTGTGCGTGTTCTGACCTGTTCGTGCGTCACCCCTGGCGCAAAGTACACTCATCAAGGTGAGCGCTTTGAGTGGCTTTGCTCTAAAAATAAGAGGACCACTGGCATTCCAAGTGTTCCACGTCGCCTATGTTGCGCGGACAATTACAGTGCGTACAACCACGTAACCTCTCTCACCAGATTTCGAACTGTTAACAAGCCGTCGATACTGGATCTTGTGCTAACTAACGAAGAACTCATGGTTGACTGGATAGTTACAAGCACATCACTGGGTCTTAGTGATCATGTTACTCTATTCTTTGGCTATATATGCTATGCGGAGTACCCTGAAAAGGAGGGTGAAAAGTGCATACTGTCACGCACTACAATGTATTATCTAAGCTTGGTAAAGATGCACCTTGGACTTTCTTAACCGAATACCCCCAGATGTT